GAGTTGTCCCCTGAACGCGGCTCCGGGCGTTCGTGGCCATTAAAGTACGCTGCTGTGGAAATCGGGGTCGGTACGCGCCGAAGAGTTCCCGCAAAGCGTGCAGATCCGTACAAGGGGAAACTTTGAAAAAAGACAAATGTGTTGTCTCGCCTCGCCTAGGAAGTGAAACAAGGAAGGGAGGATAGAGATGGGAAATGCGAGACGGCTTTTTGCGCTCCAAAGAACAACTGAAAGCTTGTTTTTTTGTTTATTTGCTTCCCGATCCCCGCGTTGCGCTGGGTGCTGGGGGGCGGGCTGTACTCGCGTGTCTCTGCAGCCTCTGAGCACTGAATCAGTCGATTGCAGCACTTCAGCGTCCTCCGGGCCGAGCCGGTGGCGGTGATCTGCAGCATAACACGTTCTTTATTTAGAAGAATCCAATAGAAAAGCTTCCTCAACTCAGACAATGTGACTGTTTGCTGGGGGGTTGTCTCTGTGCGCACAGTTGTATCGTAAGTCTGGAAGATACTTAAATGGATTTGATTGAAAGGCGCCGTATTACTCTTCTAGGCGAGACATCTGTATATTTGTGATTTCCACAAAAACTTAATTCAGAGTGTGAGAAATAGAAGAAAGAGGAAAGGCAGCGATGATGATGGTGACTCACCAGTGCAAGACATCGACACTCCAGAGGTAGCTAAACACTTGGGTTTTTCCTAATTGTTGTGTTAACCTTGTTCTTAACAGCTACCGAGTCTGCACAGGTACAGCTTTTCCACCCTTGCAGCTCTCCTTATTTTGGGGCCTGTGGGAAAGGGAAGTCTCCAAATTCACTCAGTTCTTAGTATAACAAAAGCTAACTGAATTTTGCAGTATATTTTCTGTATTTATTGTGCAGCGTAGAAGGGACAAGATTCTCTAGATTATTTTTGTCTGCTAGTTCTCTCTCATAAAATTGGTGTTTTCAACTTATTCCTCCTTAGTGCTTTCTCTCCACAGTGGTGCTTTGCTACATAATCAGCAAACTCTGTCTTCTGCAGCAGTTGACAACTTGAAGGGAATTGCACAAAGGACTCGGGATGTAAATGCTCCACTGCCCCGTCCCTCCGATTCTTTCCTTCTGTGGTAAATGTGTTGCAGATGGCTCTTGCAGTTACTCCATTGCCTTAGTGGCATTAAACACGAAGTTCAATGAAAGTACCTCTTTGTTTATACCCCTTACTGGGGGAAGATATGTTCAGGGAACTATGCTATAAAGGAGTGGAGAAGGATGGTGTTTTTCTCACCTGTCTTCTCCACTGCAGACCAGTGAAACCTCATCCATTATAAAACTGAGCTACAGCTTTCAAACCTTTTGTGTAGTATAGTGGGAGAGACTGCACCTAAGGCTCTCTTTTTTCCTACATGTGCTCTGGGTTATTGCTGCGACAGCCTGGCTTAGCAGGCACTGTTCAGTGTGTTAATTATGAGCAGAGGCTGTCATGCCTACCTGGTCCCTTCTAAGAGGGATTTTTGAAGCATTCTTCAGAGATTGCTCTGTAAGTGTTATTTTAATGGCATCCTTATGGTCAGCATCTGCAGGTATCAGCAATGTAAGTGAACAAAACTTTGTGCAAGAATCCCTGCCTAAAGGTACATGGCTCCAGGCTGAAGGCTAAGAGGATCCTCTAAGAGGATTTTAGGGGATTTGGAGTAGTTTGAAGCTGACTGTGTTGCTTGTCTGTTAAATATGTGGGATTGCTTCTTTTAAAATTCCATCTAAAGCTAACATTCCCTGGCTTCAGGTAGCTGTCTGGCATGGTGGTAATCACAGCTCTCCCACAAGCCTGTTTTATTTTCTCGTGCAAGAATTATAAAACATGTCACAATTGATGGATATCTCTGGAACAAGAAAGCACGGGCTTTTTAAAAATGGTATTACTGCAGGGAAGAAAGCTGCCTGGAAAGTATTTCTGAGGAGTTTCAGCTGGCCACTTGGACAACCGCAGCATGCTCATGCTATGTGATTACTGTATGCCTTAGATGCCCATTGGCTCTTGACCTTCTTTATTTTCAATTGCTATCCAGTTTACTAAGGAAAAAAAAAAAAATCATTTTTCTGAATACTTTCAAGGCCCTTCCGTTTCCCCCTCAGTCATGACCATCATTACCCATTAGAAGTGATTCCTATGGGAGGGGAAGAGGCTTCCATAGCACTGGTAGCTTCAGGGACTTGGTGGAAAGCTGCTGCTCCTCCTCTGCGTGGTGCTCTGGGATGTAGGTTTCCCCCTGTGACTTGGGAAGTGGAATTTATGCCATATAAACTTTAGAATACGAAAGGATACCCATCCTCTCTCATGCAAGGTGCCATCACATCAAGCTCGGCCAGGTTACCAAGCATGGAGTAACACTGCTGGTATTTAAATATTCTGTAGCTGAGGCCACTACATGAGTTTAAAGTATGAGTGCCTTAACCAGTCTTTAGTGCAGCAGTGAGTTTGGAGAATAGTGCTGTAACTCTAACCGATCTAGCAGAATTTCTCATTCAGCCTGCTTTGTCACCTGCTTTCGCACTCAGTCATCTGATTAAGCTCTCTTACATCATCAAGGAGGGTGGGAGGGTAAGCTGTTGCTGGGAGAAATGACTATTGATCAGAGTTCATGGGATTCAAAACTGAAGGATTACTGAGCTCAGGTTGTGTGTTTGTATCCCTAACAGGACCTTGTGCAATTCTCTCAACTGTCAACCCTCACTGGAAAATAGTTTTTGGACAACTGTGCCTGTGTATATAGCTCCTGCATTGTGCTTATGTATCAGGGATATGTTTGGAGAGCAAGAGCGGCTGTTTTTTTTCTCTCACCTCAAGCCAAGAAACCTTTGTGTTCTAGGCTTTTTTGTGGTTCTAATAAGTGCTATCTCACAGTGCAGATGTGCTCTATCTTGCATGCAACTCATGTAAAATTTGATGTCTGAAATTGCAGTATAGGGGTCTCCTTTGAGTCAGCATCTTCATAGATGTTATATGAAAGTTGTTTACTGGGCTTTGTGTTATCATGCTTGAACTGGGGAACAAACAAAAAACCCAGAACTGGTTAAAGTACAGTAATGAATTCCAAGTATTCTCCACAGCTAAAGGGAGACCAAGCCATGCTCAGTAACAACAAAAAGCCGAGCTGGGCTGATGTATGAGATTCCAAAATATTTTTGAGAGGCAAACTATTAATGACTGAATCCTTTTCAGTTACATTAGCCTGTTTTCCTCCCCTTACCCCCACTTTTCTTCTAGGTTGATTTATATCAGTTGCAAGTAAACACACTTCGAAGGTACAAAAGACACTTCAAGCTACAGACCAGACCGGGACTTAACAAAGCACAGCTCGTTGAAGTACGTATGAGTGTTTGTTCCCTAATAGAAAATGCAACTTGCTGTGGCATGTGGTTTTCTGTACAATGTGATCCTTGCATAAAGAGCATATGTAATCTGGGTTTTAGGAGAACAAAAGGGAACTGCTTATCTAGCTTCCTTCATTGGCTATAGCTCCTGAGCCAAGTAAATCAAAAGTAAAAGCTTTTTCTAGAGGAGAGACTCTTAACTTCCAAAAGGAGTGTGTGCTGCTTAAAAACATGAAGTGTTGATAATTATGTTAATTAAAATCACTAGGATCTGTCATCAGAAAAATACCTTTATGAAATTGTTTTTTTTTTTTCTTATCAGTATTGAAGTGCTGAAGCTGTGTGTGAGTACAGCTGTGTGTAAGCATCCTTGCTGCATTGTGAGTAAGGAATCCTGTGCTGCAAAGATGCTGTTACAATGTGCTGATGTAAATACATGGGAGAACTGGTGGTCTCTTAGCAGGGAGATATAGGAACTGTTTTCTCACTTTTGTGCAGTGATGCACTCAGTTGTACTTTGTCACCGACCTTTTGTTGGTCTCTCCCTTAATTTGTGTGGGTTAAAGGCAAAGTCCTTAAATGTGTGGGAGATCTCAAGGCTGAGCTATAAAAGAATAGTGCTGCTGCCACTATGAGTAAGAATTTAAAATCAGTCCTCTGTTTTCTTATATGTGAGCTGAAGTACAGCTAGCTCTTGAATTAGCAGGACTGTGATTTGAAAAAGCACAAACAGGTTTTGTTCTGCAAAACTGGCATTTCGAAGGGTCTGCCTTAGGTACATCTCATGAGATATTTGAGCTGGCTTACGTTTCTTGTGCTGCTTGAAATGAACAGGCAAAGCTTCTGTCATGCTTTGTTTGACCTGCAGGTATTTGTGAGCCATAACTACAGAACTTCCTTAGTTTACAGTGCATGTGATTCCTTGTAACCTGTCCTAATGTACAATAGTCACTCCTCTAGCTGTTACTTAGGAGTCTACTTTAAAGGACTTTGTCAAACTGTTTCTCTGGGATTTTTTGGGGGGGAGGGGGGAGCTAGAAAACTTTCTAACTTGCTAATTATGCTAAACATTTATACTTAAACCCTGTGGTAGTTAAATGAGCAGTCCCATTTTTCTCACTTTGCCTTGCTAATTCTAAGCCATTTAGTATTCTGAAAAAAAGCCAGAGAATAGTCTTAAGTAGGTGTATTATTTTGAGTGCTTTCTTTTGAAACTGGTGTTCATTTTGATGAAGGAAGAGACTTCTGGAATGACAAAAGTGATTTGGCAACTGTTTAGAGATTGTCATATCTTAGTAGTTACAGGATGGTGAATATTCATTGATAGCTCTGTTTTGAAGAGCTGAATATTCAGTTATAATTCTTTAAGCTCAAATAGATGAGTCTTAGATGTTTCTATATGTGATTTGATACAGACAGATGCTCTCCCCCCCACACCCGAGTGATGAGCAGTAGCCTCTCACTTCTGTGCTGTACCTCTGTTGGTATAGTATCGCTTGCTTTGTAGTCATGATTTAACTATACTTGTATAGTGATACTCCCATGCTCGTTTTGAGAACAGATCTTTTTCCTGAAAAAATTCTGGGCTTTTTACTTTGGAAATAAGGGTACAATCTGCTATATTTTCTTCATAGTTCTCAGTAAAATGGTTCTTGTTTACTTTTTTATGACTATTAAAGACTTTTGGAGAGAGGTAGCTTTTCCTTTTTTTTTTTTTAAAGCTGCTTGATCAAACTTTTAAACTTTAATGTAGTTGATTTAAATCTGAATCTTTAGGTGATTTAATTTTGTTGCTTTCTTCCTTTATAGATAATTGGCTGCCATTTTAGAACAATCCCAGTAAATGAAAAGGACACCTTAACGTATTTCATCTACTCGGTGAAGAATGACAAGAACAAACCAGATCTAAAGATGGATAGTGGGGTTCACTAGATGGAAAAGGTTGGGACTGAGGCTCAGGCCGCAAATCAAAAGACTGAGGGTTTTTGTTGATATGGAAAAGCTTTCTTTGTAACTTTTTTCTCCCCAGAGAGTTTCTCTGTTTTATTTTTCATAACCTTGCTGATTTGTTAGAAAGCCATCTCTTATGAAATAAATTTCCTCAGCAAAAGTATTTTAAATAAATATCACTGATATTGTTGCTCACGTGGGTGTGTCTGTAATTTATTAGGTACAAGTAACTCAATAAATATTTAAGCTTTGACTAATTATGTAATAATATTAAAATATTTTTCAATTAAAGTGTGCCAAGGATATATTTATTAATGTACTTCAAGTTCTCATGATGCAGTGCCTTTGAAAATAAAAAGCTGTAGCAGACTTGGCAATAGGTTCTTTTTCCTAAGGTAAGAGGCTTTAACTGACAGTTCCAGTTGTTATCTGGGCAGGAATGGCTGAATAATACTTTCTTTTTCCCCTTTGGAAACAAGCATTGATGGGGGCTTTGATTTGTTTATTCATCTTGTCTTTGCTGGGATATGGGCTTCCAAGCACTGAGGCCTTCCTGCTTCTATATTAAAATGGAAAAAATGCAGCTCTCAAATTTCAAAGCTACAAGTATGGATGAAAAGACTGCTGCAGCTTACTGTGCTGAGAAATCCTTCCACTAGGTAAGAAATCCTTTAGCTGCTGACTTTTCCATTCATCTACATAGAATGTGGCTAGGAACTTACGTTTGAGAATGGAAGACAGAGTCTGTGCTGGGTCAATACGGTATCTTCTAATAGGCATACTATTTATTTTTTGTTGCATGCGTTAGGTCAGGCCTGGTTATTAAAAAACAAACAAAAAGCCAAAAAAACCCAACAACCCAAAGCTTTATGGTAACGTATGAAAAAAATACCCAGTGATACTTTTTAATTGAGTATCTTAGTAAAGTCTGATGTTGAAGATAATATTGTGAATGACTTCTTTTGTTGTTTTTTTTATTGTGCCAGTCTAAAAGTGTGGTATATGGAATATGATTTATTTCTGCTTTAAGCTTTGCACATAGGTTGAAGAAAAGGCAGAGGGAGAAGATTTCTCTTAAAGCAGAGGAGGACATGGCTTCAGCTTGTTCAGTCAGCATTTGTTGCAACCTTTAACCTTATCAGATGTTTTAGAGCATTTTCTTACTTTGGGAAAAATTAGAAAGCAGTATTTCTATGGTCTTATCTGCTCAATGTTCATCTTGTGCATTTTTTGAAAGCTACAACTTCACTGGCGTCACTGCAACTAATGCTCCAGTTTGCTTTTTTGACCTGTGACACTCACATAGAACTGAACAATGATAAACCCTAACCTCAAAGTGGCTGCCTGCCCGGTAGCTGTCAGTGGCCTGATTCCTTTCACTTGCAGTGTCTTATGTATTTCCACAACAAAGTTCTGCAGTGTTGGCGTAAGTTCAAGGTGGTTAGTGATATCTAGCTAGTGGCAGCTAAAATTGGTATTCCTTTGAAGAGATGTTTTAGCACCCGTTTCACTACAGTGACTGTAAAGCTGTTTGCTAAACATCCTTTGCACAAATTGAGCTCATCATCTTCAAAGTGCTGGTTGGAGAAACAGCCAGGGCACCTGGCTGTGGATAGGACATCTAAAGGAAAAAGGCTTTTTCTCAGGGTGTGTGGCAAGGGTGAATGTTCTCACCTAGGACTGGCAGGACCTGCAGAAGAAGCTTGGGGAGGGAAGGAGAGTGGGGAGAGAAACAAAAGCAAGTTTTTATGGGAAATCAGTCAAAGTAGTAGCCTAAGCGCCCCTATCCTGCTGCATGTGGAAAGTAGCAACATTATTCTCTCGTGAACTATGGATTTTCCGGGAGTGGTGGAAGGAAAGCAACTGAAAACTACCCACTCACTTTATGATGCAGATTGGCATCTGCCTTAATTTTTTTTTGCTACTGCTGCTTTGGAAAGCTGAGAATGCCAGGCATATGTGACATGATTCACGTGGAAACTAAATGGCGCAACCAACAGAAGTTACATGCCCTTATTACTGCTAGAAGCTTACAGAGGGCTTTGCACAAGAGCAGATACCATATGTTTTCTTAGCAGAGCACTGACTTTGCTTATTTTGACTGTGGGTTGCCAGACTTATGGGGGTTTTTTTACCCTTAATTGATGATTTGGTAGGAAGCCCAAATGAGTCAGGATTAACTACACAAACCAGGCTTAAAAAGCCTGGTGACACAAACTGGTTGTTTAACAGTCAGTAGCCTAAAAATTACTTGGCAAAAATAGTATACATAGATTTACTTCAAATGCTTATTTTTAGCTATGTATAATCACTCCCCTCCACTGCTATCCAACCCTCATTTACTAACAGAGGAAGAAAAACAGTCATCATGATATTTCATACTGATTTCACAGGCAGTCTGGTAAACTGGTGGTAGCAGTTTTTGTGGTGTAATGGTGTAAGATTATTAGATGAGCAGTGCATTTTCAGTGGAAAAGACTAAATAGTTACCTCAGTTGTACACACCTTCCATGTGACTGATAGCTAAAGAGGTTTTATCTGGAAGGCAATAAGCCAGCCTTACTGCCTGTAAGCCAGCTTGTTCAGGTGGCTTTCTTAAACTTACAGAGAGACATAAATTTTTGGCTATTTTTCTCTTGTACTGCAAATTGGTATTGGCAGGTAGTGAGAGGTGACTGTTTATCTACAGCCTCGATCACGATACCTCTTAAACATTAAGATGATTGCTTCTAATACTTTGAGATACCTCTTTGTCTTCACTTCCCCAGTTATTTCCTTACAGTGCTAGCCTGAAGATAAAAAGCCAGCATTTTAAGTTAGTTCTGGGGTACTGTATTTCAAGCAAGGCTTGATTAAAAAGCTCCTTAAGCATGGGTTTTTATGTTGCCTTAACAGACCTTGCATCAGTCCCAACCTCCTTAGATATCTTTCTGAATATTTATATACACACACTATTGTAACTGTTCTAGTATGTTAAATGTTCAATGTTAAGATTAAGAAATGTAAGGCTTTACAGATTGCATAGTTAATGCAAGTGACCAGTTAGACATAATTAAGACCTAAGTGTGCTTTAGTACTATTAATGTGAGTTGTAAGGTTTTTTTCCCCGGTAGAATTTTCAAATATGAATGGTGAAGTTTTGCCTTTTGTATGTGCATGTATTTTAAGATGCCTAAATAGAACATGGGAGCCTGTCTGCAGAAGTGCCAGGGACTGAGTAGCTTCAGCTGAAAACATTAACTGTGTGATGGCAATAAAGGGATAGGAAGCTGCACTGCTGTAGGTTGCTATGAGGGTCATGTTCCTAATGATGTAAAGGCTTAGGCTTGAAAAGTTTCTTCATCCAGACTAGTTCAGAATTTTGTGCTGAGTAACAAGAGTTAGGCTTTTTGATGGGGGATGCGTATTAGGATGCTTTAAGAGCTTGTACACTCTCCTACACCATTATGGAAATTAAGTCAGCTACCACATTTGAAAGGAGAACTTTGTACACATTTGGCATTCAAATAAGGTATAGGAAGGAAACTTTTCTACAGTGTAGGAAGAAGCACTGTCTTGTGGTTAGAAAGGAAGGGGTTTTTTTGTGGTGGTGCTTTTGTTTTTCCCCTTGAAAGCATTATTGCATAATTGTACAACGATGTGTGTTGTCTTCACTTGGCAGACTTGATGTCCATCACTGACTGTTGCAGGGGATCACAAAAGATATCTTTGGTCCAAAGAAAATATCCCTGAAAGATATTATCAGATATTTAAATAATTAGATCATTGGTTTATCAGAGCTTTAACATAATGTGCATTTCCAGTTGTGGTTTTTTTTATTTTATGGTGGCATATGCATGGGATTGCTCTGTTTGTGAGCAATGAAAATGCAACTGCAGATCTGGATGAAGATACTGCATTTCTACCACTGTTGGCCTGGTTTGGAAGTGATGGCAAAACTTTATTGACTGGCCAGAGTGCCAGGACTCTACCCTGGTATTTTAGCTGTGAGAAAGTAAACTTACCAAATACACAATATTATAAAAATAAAGAACTTCGGCATGTGCATGCACACTATTTAGTGCAATTTGTCCTGAGAGCATACCTGCAAAGTAGGTCTTCTGTACCTCAGGATGGGTGATGAAAGAGGCTTTATTAGGGTGCTCGAAGCTCAGAAGATGAAGCTAGAAGCCCAAAGTGTGCTTCAGGGTGAGGACACCGTATTTGGGTTTATGCAAAGTGAAATATGCAAAACTTATTTAAACCCTGCTCTCAGTTTGTATCTGAGGTTTCTAGCTTTAGAAGTAATTCCCACTTGGTTCAACTCTAGTCCCCTATGGGAGAATGGAAAAGTTGCCTTTTATTGGATTTTAGGGGACTTGAGAAACAGGGATGGTATGGCGAACACATATAAAAAGTCATTTTTTGCTTGCTTATATAATGCCATCATGTTTTAGTGTCCCTGAAGCATAAGTAAGTTTTGAAGTGTTGATACTTTGAATCTGAATTTCCTGAAGAAAAAGAGTTGCTGGAAAGCTAAGTGAAATAATACCTCTTAATACATTTAATTAGTTCAAACTAGTATGGGCTAGTGGTTTTTATTAACCCAGTTTTGTCAGGATGTACATTCTTTCTCTAAAACAACAACAAAAAAACCCATGTTCGATGAGAACTTCACCATTCAGCTTTGTCAGCAAGCCACAGTTGCTGATGTTCTTGGGCTAAATCTTTTCCTTCTGTTGCAGGCATTTGTGAACCTCTGTTCCCCCCTGTTTGCTCTCCTACTTTAAACAGCTGTCTTTACAGAATCATTTATTCAACTGACATGTGCATACACCTTAGAATGGCAATACGGTATTTTACCATGGAACAGAAATCAAATAGTTTTGTTTATGGTCATGAAAACATCTTCATTGCAAAGTGCTGTGAATAAGGATTTGACGTAGTTCTCATACTTAGTTTAGATCAAACAGAAGAGTCAAAAGTTGGGTGATTTAAATGCTGAAGTCCCCTGCAATAGGATACGCAGGCTTACAGAACATGCTAAGCAAGTTCTAAGTGAGCCTGTGAAAAACAAAACCTGAAAACTGGCAGTGTATCAGATAATTGGCTATACCTTTATATAATTTCAAACCATCTGAAGTGATGTGTTTCCTGTAGTTTATTCTACCAGTGGAAACTGTAAAGTGATAGAAGTATAATGGGCACTCACCCAG